GAGCTATAATCTCCAGCTATTCAAGTGTAATGTCAATCGACAACTCCAGTTGCCTTGATCTATCCACTACCCTCATCCTTTCTTCTATCACTCCTATCTGATCTTGCTATTTCCTGTAACCCCTTGCATCCTAGTGCCTTCCCGCCTTGCTTGGGGTGAAACGCTAAAAAAAAAAATATGGTAGCAATACTCCATTTTCCGTCTGATCTAGCACATGCAAGGATAGAGGAATGTATAAGGCATCAAACACCTTCTGGGGCGGTGCAAGGAGATATCGAATGGAAGTGAAAATTTTAACATCGCCTCTATGGTCACCATTCCCCTCCATCACAAAATTGTGGATCATGGTGACATTTAAAGCAGAATAGTGCAATGGTTTGGCCGGAAATGTTGAGGTTGCACCGTCCCTCTTCTCAGAAGACCTAGAACCCAGCCGTTTTCCTTTTGCTAGACTGATTATTAACCAAAGTTATAAGCCCCGGTCTATCCAGCTATTTATCCGTAAGCTGGAGGGACGAGACAGATTGATACCTTTCCCGAAGTAAGTGAATGCAATGAACTCGATGGGAATTCATAGCCGCTGTCCATTACTCTACCGTAACCTCCACTAACTGTTAAAATGTGCAAAATGGCGAGAACAAGAACAAACACATCTGCACATATTGATATATATACTGTCGTCATCTCCTTCAAAATTGCTTGTGGTGTGTTCTTTTCAAATAAAGGAAACTGGGTCCATCCCTACACTTCACTCGCTCTATTGTTCCAACTTAATACACGTTCACACCTGACAAACACCTGGAAACTGAAGTGTGTCCCGTACATGTTTTGACATGCGCAATTTCATCTTACGTTCACAGGAAGTGGGTCAGGAGAAATTTTTAATGAAGCACACGCTATGCAGTTAATCCACCTACGCACGATTTGACACAATGTTATTTTAATATACGCCCCTCCCTACGTTTACAGCGGGGATAGAGGTAAAAAAAATCAATTTTCCACGGTACTTTCCTTTTAAGATATCTCAGGCATAAAAGTTTGGCCCTGCTGATTCATTTAAGTGCAATAAAAAAGATTCAACACGCAGTGTGATACCCTCCCACTCTGTAGCTGAGTATATATATATATATATATATAAAAGGCAGGATGTGTGTGTGTGTGTGTGTGTGTGTGTGTGTGTGTGTGTGTGTGTGTGTGTGTGTGTGTAACGAATGCACGGCCGCAATTTTCGACGGATTTGCACCAAAATTTACATGCACATGCCACAAGTTGGCGGGAAGCCCAACACCGACTTTGCATTTCCCAACTCCCATCGATAGTGAAAATAATCGATTTTTTTCATGCTTCTACGGCACTTTTCATGTAGTTTGCGGCCATTTTGTACTGGCCAGAGTGAGAGCCTATAGCTGGCTGCCACGAATAGGCAGGAAGATTCTATTGGCCAGCGTGAGAGCCAACAGCTGACTGACACGAATGTTAACTAGCATGCAAAAAAAATCGATAGCTGCATTCGTCACAAGTGGGAAAAATTTAAATCTGCATGGCATTTTACTCCAATTGACTCGTTCGCTTGCTTAAACTCAACGTTGATTCTGATTCCGCAGAACTGGGTTGGTTGTGAAAATGTACTTGTTAACATTCTTTTTTCATTCGGTTTTTCCAGTTACGAGTCCTTTTTTTAAAGCTGATCGTTTGGTGTTCATTTTGTTTAGTTCTTTTTTCGTAACAGATTTAATGTTTAGTATAGAGCTTAGAAAAAATTCGCAGTGTGAGATAGGCAAGAAGTAAGGCATGTAGCAACATCAGCACAGCAAAGGGCACTCCTTTAAAGCCAAGGAAGGGCAAAAATATTTTAAGTCAAGTGATAGCGATTGCTGTATGAGTCGTACGATTTTTGAATCAAGCTCGGGCAACGCCGGGCCATGCTGCTAGTCTGTAATATTTTCTTTCTTTTTTTTTTAATCATTTCACCTCATGCAAGGCGATAATGCCACTAAGACACAAAGAAAGTATTGGGAAGAGAAGAGAATGAGAATAGTTTAGTGAAAGAGGAAAGGGCAATAAAACAACAGGTTTCACAAAGACAAAAGATGGTGGTTGATTTTGCGCTGAAATTTCTGAAAATTGTCGGTGGCAGAGAAGCAAGAAATCTGAAAGGATTTCTAACGGGCGAGAAGTGGGAGAAAAGAAACTATTAGAATAGAACATACGATTACATCTAACAATAAAATGATGAAACCTACCAGCCAATCTAGTAGTGCGTTTAATTTCGAGGTACCAAAGGGTAGAGCCTAATTCGGACAACTACCATGAAAATATTTACAGAAAAAAAACATAGGGAAGGTGGCGGGCGTTGTATACTCCGGTCCTCTTCAGATGATTGGAATTTCGATCTAAACCCCTTTATTCCGTCCACCGAAGTAGATTGTTCTAGTTCCTCTTCCGGATGTCTCAGTTATCTCCCTTTAACTCAACTCTCCAAGATTTTGTTCACCAACGCAGTAGCCTATTTAAGACAGAATAGTGCAATGGTTTGGCCGGAAATATTACGGTTGCCCCGTCCCTCTTCTCAGAAAACCTAGAACCCAGCCGTTTTCTTTTTCCTAGACTGATTATTAACCAAAGTTTTAGGCCCCAGTCTGTCCAGCTATTTATCTATAGCTGGAGGGATGAGATGGATTGATACCTTTCCTGAATAAGGGAATGCAATGGACTCGACTGGAATTCGAACTCGGCTCTTCCGATTCCTCAATCAGAGCCGCTGCCCATTACTGTGGAGGTTGTTAACTCACAACTCTTTGGGTTAAGTCACTGCATTCAACAAAAGCTTTTATCCACTAGGCAATGTGTCCTCGAGGAAGAGACATGGCACGTGGCACTAGAACAATACACCACGGAACATACAATGGCCGAAACGTTGTAAATATGGCAATAAAAATGAGACCAACAGTCCGAACAATGCAAATCATTACAATACCTCATCTCAGAAATATAGACAGATAATGAAAAAAAGAAGGTGTCTGTCGATTTGGTTGATTTTGTCTAGTGGCATATCAACACCCCTATGGGTTATTTAATGCCGAAATCTAAATATTTTGAACGTAATTTTATGGATTCAACTACAGATAAAATGTATTGGCGCTCGTTCTACGATAAATAGTTATTGTTGGTAATCTATTATATAAAAATGTATTTCTGGTATCTTTAGTGTAAAAATGTATTTTTATACTTTCGTAGGGTTTTGTTTTTATTTAGGTGTTCGCTATTTGCCCATAGATGGGACCCCCCCCCCGTAACAGGTGCCACCACCACGGATCTGGGCGAACCTGGAAACAACAACAATCAAGAGGTGGTACCACGTTCCTCAAAGCCTCCAATCTCCCGATCAGAGGTCTTCCCACCGGATGTAGTTCATCGTCATACCCAAGACTAAAGAATTTACTGTATTATCTTCTGATGTCAGATTAAAATGATGGTTTCTTTATTTTTTCTACCTTTTCTACCCACCGTCCATGGCTTAATTATTAAGACTTATATCTTTAAACCACTATTATCTCAAAAAATATTCTTACAACCCGAAAATATTTTCTGGCTTTAAATAACCTGCAAAAGGTTGATAAACTGTAGAAGACGCCTCATTAAAAAAAAAAAATTCACATATGTAATTGTGAAAATTTCATGAAAATACTTTTCATCTGAAATCAAGAAATCTTATGCAAAATGACCTTAATAAAGGGTGTTTCATTAAGACGGATTATATATAAGGGTGTTTCATTAAGACGGCTTATATATATAAGGGTGTTTCATTAATACGGATTATATATAAGGGTGTTTCATTAAGACGGATTATATATATAAGGGTGTTTCATTAAGACGGATTATATATATAAGGGTGTTTAATATTAAGACGGATTATTATATATATAAGGGTGTTTCTTTAAGACATTATATACGGATTTTATATATTATATATAAGGGTGTTTCATTAAGACGGATTATATATATAAGGGTATTTATTTAAGACGGATTATATATAAGGGTGTTTCATTAGGACGGATTATATATATAAGGGTGTTTCTTTAAGACGGATTATATATATATAGGGGTTTTTCATTAAGACGGATTATATATAAGGGTGTATATAAAGGTGATGGATCAAAGTCAGCAGTAAATAAATCAGTGTTATTGGTGAAAAATTATTTATTTCTCTATTGGATCATGTTATTCAAGTCATGGCAATTATGTGTGAAAAATAATATCGCCCAAATGTCCGTCAAGGCTTCGATAGCACACCTCTACTCAATGGTCAAAGTTTTTGTTGACATTATTTACATTATTCGGACTATTGTCCTCATCTTTTTCGCCATATCTATCACAACGTTTCGGCCGTTATACGCTCTGGCCTTCTTCAGGTGGTTGGAATGTCGAACTGAACCCTTTATTTCGCTCACTGGGGTAGACTGTTCTAGTTCCACGTGCCATGTTTCATGGATGTCAGTTATCAAGGACACATGGCACAGTGGATAAAGGCGTCGGTTAGATCCAGTGACAGGACTCAAAGAGTGTGAGTTCAATACCTGGTTAAGGCAGTGGAGAACTTTCAGAGGGAAATTAACAGGAGATAACTGATAACTGACATCCATCAAACATGGCACGTGGAACTTTATCACTGGGGTAGCCATGTTTAATGGATGTCAGTTATCAGTTATCTCCTGTTAATTTCTCTCTCCAAATTTTCTCTGTTTCGAGAGATGGTGCGATCTGGGAATTTCTCATTCAAATTCTGTTTGAACGTCCATTTTCGTAATAGGCTTCGATAACTTTAACACGTTGTTTGAATTTTAATCTTTCCATGGTTGAAATTGCCAAAGACTTAAGTTGTTTAATCTGAAAGAAAAAGAAAAAAATCATTAGACGCTTAAACTTAATTCACATTTAAAATCGATCCAACTTATTGGAATACCACACACACACACACACACACACACACACACACACACATAGATAGATAGATAGATAGATAGATAGATATGGGAAAAGAAGTCATCATTTTAATGCATACCCGTCTCTTTTATGCATATTCTCTTGGTGTCAGTTTGAACTGACGTTGACTTCTTTTTTTCATTATATCTAACCCCAAGCCTCAAGCTTTTAAATTCAAAGTGCACTTGTAGAATAACTAAAACTCTAGGGTGCAATTTTAATACGGAAAATACAATTTGCAAATAGGAAAATAATAAATAAATCTTCTGAAATAAGAAATAAGGCATTTGTTTTTAAGACATTATATTGCACAACGTGTCCCTAAAGTCTAGACACATCGGAAATCTCATTAACTGAATATTTTCCAACACTGCAGATTAAACATGGCGTTGCTGAAAAAAGAAAGAACTTACTTCTTTTCTGGGGTATACTAAAAAAGGTGTACTCAATGAAAATTTCAGATGCAACACACTTGATTGAACGCATAAAGAGTGGATGTACTAAAATTGACGGCAAAGTGAGGTTATTGCATCGAGATCACGTGAATCTTGAAAAGCACATCGACATTTGCATCACAAATGATGGAAATCCTATTGAAGACGTTATTTATTAATATTCCAATTCAATAAAATGTTGAAAATTTCATTTCTTAAAAATATGCATTTTTGTCTGTGTGTCCAGACTTTAGGCACACCCTGTAGAGGAATTATTTTAGGAGTTATATATAAAAAGTTTAAAGAGAAAATAATAAATTGATTTCTGAGGTAAAATTTTAACATGAAAAGTGCGCAGCCAAAGATTATATTTATGGATGTTTGTGTGAAGCCTGTCTTTGATGTACTTTGACAAACTTTTTAAATTTTTAAACATATCCAGTCTGAACTAGCTTTCCTTTACAAAACCATCAGTTTTAATTTTATCGGGACAGGATTCTCATTTCCATTTTACGTAGATACGTTTAGACTGTGTTGTAAAATGTCTGTACATTTTTTTCAACGGTGAAATACAAAATCAAAAAACGTAACTTAGACATGGAAGCCTGGTGCTTTTTAAAAATAAAGATTTTTTTTTTTAAAAATATAAAAACAATTCATACATTACTCTTCTATTAACTTGGGGCGCACATGGATACCTTTCAGTGCCCTTTACTTTCACCTGGGCCCTCCGAGGTAGAAGGACGCTGAGAATTTTAAATTTAAATTTAAATTTAAAATTTTAAAGGTCGCCTCTCTTTCGCATCACACGAATTCCATCCCCTCCAGATATTGCTCTTTATATATATATATATATATATATATATATATATATATATATATATATATATATAATGGATGATAAAATATTGAAATAAAATTTTATTTCAATATTTTATCATCCATTGACTGGTTTGAAAAACCCTTGTAAATTTTATTTTTTATTTACAAAGTGAAAATGATCATTAACCTAATGTAACCTTAAATCCTATGGTATAATATATATATATATATATATATATATATATATATATATATATATATATATAAAGAGCAGATATGAGCGTTCGAGAGAAATCATGGGAAATTTGTAGTTTAAAAAAATGTAATTTGACCTTGCTAAACAGACTCTTCCTCTATAGCTAAATGGTATAGCACGTCAGGCTATAGGTCGGTTCCCTGTCGGGGGATACTTATATTCTTTGAAATTTCTCGGACATTCAAGCCGGTAATTGTTAATACTGTTTATTATAAACAGACCATTTACTTAAATCTTTGTAGCTATGAAAATAACGTATAAAAAACAAATATATTAAAATAATTATCAAACTTAGTCCATTTCATAATATGTGATGCAATTTGCTTACGTTAGGATACGCTTCGAGCAGGTATGGACATTCGAGAGAAATCATGGGGAATTTGTAGTTTAAAAACAGTAATTTGACCTTGCTAAGCAGACGCTTCTAAATTATATATATATATATATATATATATGTGTGTGTGTGTGTGTGTGTGTGTGTGTGTGTGTGTGTGTGTGTGTGTGTGTGTGTGTGTATAAATAAAAAGAAAGAATAGTAAGTATATAATCCGGTGTTCTTATAGATATTTTTATTTTTACAAAATTGTGCTCAATGTAAATTTACAGAGCATTAATATTATAATTGATTTATTTAAAATATGTTTTTTCCGCTACAGTTCTAATCATGTTTCAAAAATGGAAGCTAAAAGCTACGAAATTAAAAATTAAATTCGTAGCTTTTAGCTTCCATTTTTGAAACATGGTTAGAACTGTGCAGCGAAAAAAACATATTTTAAATACATCAATTTATAATATATATATATATCGTTTATCTCTCTAAATAAAACCATTTACTGGTGCACATGAGCCTTTTTTTCTGTAAATATATTAGTACGTCTGAATATGCGTATATATGATTCTGTGTATGTTACTCTGTGTGTGTGTGTGTGTGTGTGTGTGTGTGTGTGTGTGTGCGCGCGTGCGCGTGCATACTCAGATGGACGTGTTTGTGTGCTTGCAACATTACTCCTTTTGGGCGAATTCGTCACTCTTCAAGCGATTATACAGAGACCAAAGGAGTTATGACAAGTTTCCTTCTTCCTTGTTAATTTTCATTTTTTTTTGCTTCTTTTTTTTTTATTTACTCGCAAAAATATGCATGGGCACTTTCGCCACGAAAGTTTCAAAATAATATAAAGTTCAATCCCCAGAGTCCCCCCCCCCAGGCAGTACCTCTTCTTTTATGGAGGCTCAGGGGCATTACCCGGCACCTGAGGCGTCCGAAAAAGGGGCCTTGAATTGTCGGTATAGCTGTTAAACCCATTTTAAACCCCGGCCTTGTGTCACATTTGGCAGCAATGTGACCTCACTGAAAAAGGATTTCAAAAAGGAAAAATACCTCTCTTCAGTTTCCTCCTCTTCCTCCTCTTCTTCCTCTTCCTCCTCCACCACCACCACCTTCTTCTTATCCTCCTCGATTAGATACTGTTCAACAGCCCACGTTTCGTTTCCGTTTTGCCGCGTATCGGGTCACGTGATCATTCGGTGCGCAAACATCGTCACTGGAACCGTTCACGCATGCCCGTTGGAAACAAGTTGATTCACGTACATGTATGGGCACTGAACAAAGCAGCAGGCGTCGGAAGATATGGACCATAACAATTCAATGAGAAGGGGATTAATGATGGCAGAAAAGCAGGAGTTTCTTCACTAGCCGAACATAAGTGGCTGATCGTGAAGTGACGCATCGATTTAGCCCTCAGGCAATTACACAAGGCGGGATTTAGAAAATGCAAAGAGGCATGTTCATTAACCTTCAGGCTAAACCAAACAAAATAGAGCGGGGGAGGCTGATAGCCCTGGGGGTCAGAGAACACAGACTGGCGACCTTTATCTTCACTAAACTATTGTTTGTTTGTTTTTTTTTTAAATTGATTTTGGAACGTTTTCAAATTGGTAATTCACTTTTTTTATTTCGGATACATGTATTTAAAATATTTTTGGACGGGGAAATTTAAAGTATTTCGGATACATGAATTTAAAGTATTTATCTCGGATACATAATTTTGAAAATATGTTTCATATGCTTAAAATTAAAGTAGTTCGAAAACAAATTTTAAGTATTTATTTCGGATCTATGCATATACTTTAAGTATTTTTTCGAATACATAAATTTAAAGGATCTCAGTTACATGAATTTAAAGTATTTATTTGATATACATAAATACAAAATATTTATTTCGCGTACATGAATTTAGTGTATTTACTACAGACACATGAATTTGAAGTATTTACTTGGAATACATGAATTTCAAGTACTTACTTCGGATACGAGAATTTAAAGTATTTACTTCGGACACATGAATTTGAAGTATTTACTTCGGACACGTTAATTTAAAGTATTTAATTCGGGCACATGAATTTAAAGTATTTTTGGGTGCATAAACTAGAAGTATTTTTCTTTATACATAATTATAAAGTATTTCGAATACATAAATTGGGTATTATTTATTTCGGATACATGAATTTAAAGTATTTTGGATAGATTGAGTTGAAGTATTTATTTCAGGTACATAAATTTAAAATACTTTTGTATACATGCATTAGAAGTATTTTTCATATACGTAAGTTCCACGTATTTTGGATACATGTAACGTTAAAGTATTTCAAATACATAGATTTATTTCAGATACATACATTTAAATATGGTTTCGTATATTTTCATTTAAAGTATTTCGTATACATGAATTTAAAATATTTATTTTAGATACATAAATTTAAAGTATTTTTCGTATACATAATTTTAAAGTTTTTCGGATACATGAATTTAAGTATTTCTTTTACATACATAAATTTAATGTATTTAATTCGGATATTTGCATTTGAAATATTTTTTCGGATACATAAATTTTAAGTATTCCGAATGTATGAATTGAAAGCACTCGAAATATTTAATTATGTAAATTACAAATATTATGAATTGATCGTACGATAAGATCGATCAATAAATCTGTAGCCTAATCATTAGATGGATTTTGATCTGAATTTTTCACTGTATAATGTTTGACTCTATATGATTAATAGAAAATGGTAAATAGTGCAGCAGCATCATCACCAAATTTTATGTGATAAAAAGTACATTTTAAAATAAAAAAAAACAGTGCGAGGATTAACGGGAGATAATCGCGTATTCGATTTCAGAAGATTATCATTGATAAGTCTCTTCTCTAATTTGCGGACCCTAGTTGCTATATTCTCAGTACAAGATATAATGCAAAAATATCACAATGATAAAATCAGTCAATAATTATTTATAACTATTTATACTGGGAGTCATGCACGCAATTACAAGTAATCCATAATAATATTTTAAATTTTGAAATCAAATTTATTTTTGGCATACAATTTTTTTTTAAATGGTTTCTAAATCTTTGATTGTCTTTCAATCATTCTGCCTCACCTGCTATCCTCTTCTGATCCTGAGGAACGCTGCACCATTTGGGAACCACTGCCCTAGGAGCTGATGCTCTGTGCCTTTCTGTTCATAAATGGGAGTAGTGGAACTGCATCATG